TCTTATAATTTTTTTAATTCTTAATCAAATTCTAAATAAATTATAATCAAATCCTATATCCTAAACTAATCTTAATCAATTTTTAATCAAAATTTAAAACTTGAATAAATTCTTAACAAATCCTATAGTGGATTAAAAATTCAATAACTAATAATTGAACTATTAATTTTGACTCAAAATTTGCATACCTTGCAACAATTTAGCAATATGCATAAAGAATGTGAAAAAGGTTGGACATACCAAATAGATGATTATTTCAAAACTTTGCTCAGGGATTGGGTAGCCTTCTTTTCCAACCTTGATGTTGATATTTCTAAGCCACAATCTCTTAATATAATAATTCAATTCAATTCATTCTAAACTTTTTACAATTGTCAAAAATCTAGCTATCTACCTTTGAATAAAATTATATTTCAATTCAGCCAAGAGATTGATAGATACTTTAGAAATCATCACTAATCCTCTCAATTCCAATTTCGAAGACCATGACCTACAAAAGCCTCATATGCTTCAATCTAACTACTTGATTGACTTCAAATTTTTCACACATATTCACAACATTTACAATAATAATTTTTAAAATTTTTACTTATGAATACATCATGAAACTCACAAAATCCTAAAATATATAAACTTGTTTTTATTTTTTGAAATCTAAATCCACCAAGTACATTATTAACTATGAAAATTCTTCAAAATCTTAATATTAATCTAAATGACATGAAACAAACATTCAAAAAACTTTTTTCAATTTTGCTCTCAAATTCTACTCTCTAATTTACAAAAAAACCTTGAAGTTGCTATAGGTATATGGTTTTGTGCCTTAAAGTTTGATTTTGATCCAAGGTGATAATTGATCCTCTTTGGATATTAATTTTTTAATAATTTGAAATAAATTTTTCTTTAATCTATTTTTAATACTCTTCTTAATATATTTATATTAAGTTTTTATCTTATTTACTTTTATTTGGCTCATTTATACCTCTATAAAATAAATAGAAGTCCTTTCTATAAAAAACAATATTAAGACTAATTTTTTTTACTACCTTTCTGTAATTTATTTTTGTTTTTTCTTCTACATCTTTTTACTAGGCTCTTCTACAATAATATCAATATTTTTATTTTTCACCATATAGTCATTTTACTATATGACAACATCACTACATAGCTCCTTATTTAGATAGTATATATAGAAGCAATAGTGAAGCCTTCTTTAATTTTCTCGATACCTTTTAACAACAATCAAGAGTTTGATGTCAAAGATATCTTAAATTTGAGGCAGTACTAAAATACGTTGTAATATCTTATATATTGATATAGATATGATATTAATAAATAAACAAAGAAGCCATATAAAAATCTTGCAAATATAGCAGAGAAGGTCAATGTTTTTTTTATTGTTGACATCCATCAAAACCAAGATAAAGAGTTAAGAAACATTTTATTATAAAGAATTTTTTTTATAGAAGATTGCATTCTATCTTCTATCAGTATTTGTGATTTTTTTGTATTTGTAGTACTAAAGAAATAAAGATTCAACAACATACAAATTCAATTCGAGAGTTATTATTTTTTTAGTTATTAGATGAGACATTGCAATTATCTTAGCTTTTTAGATAAGGTAATAAAAATGAAAATCCTCAAGAACAACATATTTTTTCTCAAATAGATGGTAAAATATAATATATTTGATATCACAATCTTAAGAAAAATTCTTAATATTTGGTGATATTATTAGAAGTAAAAACTACTCTTGATGGTATTCTAAATATTTTATTTGAAGGAAGTTATTGAAACTTCAACTATGATTATATAATAGAATGATTTTTTTACTTTGATATAGGATACTATTAATAGTTGAGAAGAATTATCAAGTACCTTCAAAAGAAACAAAAATTAGAATGTGTGGTATAAATAATTTATTATAACTTAGACTTCTTTAACATATGGCCATTATTCCTTGTAGGACTTATCTTTAGAAAGAAAGAAATAATGTCATGAATATACATATTTATTTGAATTAAAGATATTACATAAAAATAAATAAAATTTAATAAATTTGATAATATCTTGTAAAAAAGCTTCTTAAAAGCTTTATGGCTATGGATTTGACTTTATTTGTCTTTGTAGGTAATTGATAGGTTGAAAACTTAGCCATCAAGTTGGCCACTTGTGATACAAGTTGGACATGTGGCATACATATAAAAAACTTGTTTTGAAAATCAAACACATGTCGTACATGTTGGACACATGTTAGAGGTCCTATAGAACGTTATCACATAGTTTTTAGTTAAATAATATATATAGAGTCAAATTTGAGGCCTTCTTCATTCTTATCAATTCTATTTTTTGCTTCTAATTTAGTTTATAGAATTTTTAGTTTCTTAATCTTTTGCCATAGCAACTCTAGTTTCTTCTTCATTATATATATATATATATATATATATATATATATATATATTATCTTTCTTTCAAAAGAATCTTACTTAATTATTTTTTTAAGTTCTTGTCTTTGATACATAATCAACTTATACAACAATTACCTATATGTGCAATATGTGGCCAATTTGTTGGCTAAGTTTTCAACCTATCAATCACCTACAAATACTAAAAAAGTCAAATTTGTATCTATAAAGCTTCTAAAAAGCTCTTCCATGAGATATTATAAATTTATCTATTTCCACTTAATTCTTCTTATATAAATAAATACTAATATTAATATGTATGTTTATGGCAATTTTATATCTAATATTATTCCACATCTATTATTTGAAGGTAATCATAATGAATTAAAATATAAATTTAATAATAAGGTAGTTGTCTTTGTCTATGTACAAGATATTATTCGTGGCTTCAATAACCTATGAACTACTTTTGTATATAAAAAATCAATTATTTTTAGCAAATATTATTGAGAAAATCTTAAATATTATTAAGTTGTAGAATAACTTAGAATCTTATTGCTCTCTATGTTATTTTTTTCTAAAATTTAAAAAATAATACTATATATATCTATACTATTTAAATAAATATAAATTAGTAGATGTAAAAATATATGAGATAGTTAAGATCTTCTTCTAAATTCATTGAAGAAACTACCTAGATACATATTAGATGTGTAGATATATTATGTAGCTATGCAAACTTCTTTAAGAAGTTTTTTACTTTTAAAAACTACTATAAAATTATTCTATAATTTAAAATTGATCTACAAGTTTTGTTGTTTTTAAAAGTTTTTTTATATGGTGCAATTGTTTATTTATTTATTTTTATTTATTTATTAATTTTTAATATAAAAGCAAGATTAAAACTAGTTTCAATCTTCTTGATGCCTTTCTTATATTCTAATCTTGGTTGAAAATTCTTAAGTTTCTTTGTATATGATAATAGTTGTTTTAATACTTTTATACTTATGAAATGTATACCTTCTTAGAAAGTGTGTGTGTATATATACATACATATATATTCTAAAAATTATGTTTAGATTTATGTTTTTGATACAAAAAAATTATATTGAATTATTTAACAAATACTCAAAAATACTTTTGTGATTTTCATTGGTTTTTTAATATTTTTATAAAATAACTTAGATTAGTGTGATGTGTGGTAGAATTTCATTATTAGTGGTTATAATCTACATATATTCTAACATTATCATCGAAGTTTACAAAAAGGTCTTATGATTGTTAAGGAGTAAGTTACAGAAATAAAGTAAATATTTGTGTTGTATATATTCTATGACAAGAATATGAAAGAAATCATTTTGTAAAATCACAAATTTTTATAAGTTGTAAGTATTGATGATACTATTAAATATAATAAAATCTTAAAATAAAATATTGCTATTTATTGACCTTATAAAGAATAGAAACTTACAAATATTAAAAATTCAACTAATCCATAGTATTAAAAATATAATATTCTGTGCTAAATTAGGTGAAAATTAATTATATACAGATGTAGATTAAACGAAAAATTTGGTATTTATAAGTTTTGTAATATGCCACAAAAATTAATATTTGTAAAGATTGAAATATATGCATATAATTTGGACAGAGAAAGTTCATTTATTATAGCTGTTTTCACATAATAGATCAGTGATTTTAAAATACTAATTCTGTCTAAATTTCATTAAAATGAATCTAATTTGATTAAGGGAGTACCATTTCTAAGCCTAGGTTTTGGAAACCACTAATACAAAAGTAGAGATGGCAAGAAATAGGTTTTGTTTTGTTTTGTTTTAATAAATGACACTTGTAGCCATTGGCATGGTTGAAAATGCCACCATCTCTTACATGTTCAATGATATATCAACCTCATAAGTAGAATTTTGTTATTGTATGTAATTCTTTATTCTAATGAACAAAAGATAGTTTCCCTAGTACATATTTTTGTAGAACTGCTTACAACACTTTTATACACAATCTTCCACAAAACAATAACCAAAGATGCAAGATTATAAAACAGAAGGAAATACATGAGAGGAAGACTCAATAGAATGGATTTTCAGACAAAAACTAAATGAATTGATGGCATTTAAAAAAAACAAAACAAAACAAAAAATTATGTACTCATACTGATTATTAAACACAGGTAATAAGAGACAGGTTACAAACATTGCAACACATTTCAATCAATGATTCGAAACAAACAAAAAAAAACCTGGAAAACGTTAATTTATCAATAAATTTATCTGCAACAGTGATAAACTGTACTGTTCCAGAGTAAAAAAAAAAAAAAAACACAAAACAAAACAAAACAAAAACAAACAAACACACACACACACACTCATATACAAAAATTCATTGTTAACAGAACACTTCGTTTCATCCCAAACACTGCGAAGCCTTTGTCCAAGCTAATTTTAGAATTAGTGAGATGTTCAGTGATTAGTTCGGGAGCAGGAACGAAAACACGACAATGTGGGCGAGATTAGCAAATGAATGATATTTATCATGTGGATGAATGAAGTCGATGCTAAGATAAGGTAGTCAATATTGCTCAGCTGCGTCGGCTCTGTCGTTGCGCTTGCCTCTGCTCCTTCGCCGCCTGCGTCGCCAATTTCAAGCTCAATTCTCAGCTTGTGGACTCTCTCCACTCGCATTGCTGATCTCTTGTATTCTAAGGTCGGATTACACCTCCTTAACTTCAGTTTCTGTCAGTAAGATCCCATATTGAGAGCTTTTTTGTGGTGCTGTTGGTATTCGTTTCGGTGCTTCTGGCACTGGACGATGCTTTGTAGAGTTGGGTTCTTCGTGAATTGTTCGAGAATTTGAGTTGGGATGAGCTTTTTTGTGTATTAGGTTTTTGGTCAGGCGTTTAGGTAGGGCGATTGAAGTGAAGACGGTGAGTTTCTGTGCAGGTTGGAAGTTGGGTTCTCAGGGGGGAAGATCAAATGGCAGGTGTGACGATGGCAGCGGGTTGTGGGGTGTCGCAGGCCCTCTCTGCCGGTGCGAGTCATGAAGGTTTGCGACGCATTGCCCCCGCATTTGGTACCGTGGTTGTGCCCATTCCTAGCCGTTGTAAGGTGTCGAGGAGGGTGAAGGTGGAGGCAATTGCTGAACCTATAGCGAAGAGTACTGTGCGGACTATCGAGGAGTGCGAGGCTGATGTTGTTGCTGGAAATGCTCCCGCGGCTCCTCCTGTTCCTGCCAAACCCAAGGCTCCGGAGGGTACACCCAGAATTTCTCCATTGGTGAGAGCCTATCTAGGCATTGTATTGGACATTAAGATCCCTGCTCTTGAATGATCAGAATGTCTTCACATGTTTCCTGAGCTTCTTTCTTGTTTCTATTTTTATTTCCTCCTGGTTCGCAATTGAGTTGTTTTTCGATAGTCAGGAAGGTAGTTTTAAACCTTGGACGGATTTCTGCTAGTTCTTCACTCAGCTTGCGCCAATTCTCCTCCAATACCTGGTCATCTGCCGACATTGTGTCTGCTAAGTTACACTGATAGTACGAATTAGTATTATCTAACTAAAGATTACTCAAGTGTTGGTGAGTGGATTGCTGGACGGGGTTCACACAGTATTAAGTGCATTTCGGCTGCAGGTAATGCCTGCGAGGCCACGAAGAAATCGCAGATCTGCAGCTCTTCGTGCCGCTTTTCAAGAGACCACAGTTTCTCCTGCGAACTTCATTCTTCCACTATTTGTCCATGAAGGTTTGCCCTCAATTTCACCTCACTGGCAGTGACCAGTCAATTACTGTTGCATCACGATCAACCCTTTCCATCCAGTCGTGTTTAATTTTGTCTTCAGCTTGCATCATCAATGATCTCACAATGAGTCCTTGTCAACTTAGTGATTGTATTTTCGTCATTTTCTGATTGGATTTAATGATATAATCCAAGCTCCATCTATCATGTTGTCCCGTAAACCTCCGTTTCACAGGCTGCTTACAATAATGTTTTACATTTATGACTGAATATGTGGACTCAGGAGAACAGAATGCACCGATTGGGGCAATGCCAGGTTGCCAGCGCCTTGGATGGCGTCATGGGCTCATTGATGAGGTAGATTTCAATTTTATAACTACAAGTACAATAAAAATTACTTCACTGCGGATGTTGACTCTGTCTATTCATCCCTAGCCGACCAGCCCAATGCAGATATTGAAACAGTTTCTGGTGGATCCGGGTTTCTTTTTTACTAAAGGAGGTTATGATATTTTAGTTTTGATGACACTAGTCACTGTTGTGTTACCAGGTGTACAAGGCAAGAGATGTTGGTGTTAACAACGTTGTTCTCTTTCCCAAAGTTCCCGACGCGCTTAAGGTGAGCTCAATGTCTATTGATTTTGTCTTTTAAACGAACGTCTTATGTTGAGCTGCAAGCATTTATTTATTGAACTTAGGATGGTATTTCTATCTAGTAAAACCTCCAAAGCACTTTTGGTTTGCTACATTCTTGTGTTCAAATAACCTTCATTTCGTTGTAGCTGTGTATCATATTTTGAGCAAGAGAGGGCAATACGGAGTAGATTCTTAGGATTAATTGTTTCAGGAAACCTTCAAACTTTCAGCATGAGATCCTGAGTTGGTTTTTTTCTTCGTGCAGTCCTCAACTGGAGATGAGGCTTACAACCCCGATGGGCTGGTTCCACGGTGCATTCGGTTACTCAAAGACAAATTCCCTGATTTGGTAAGCCAGGTCAAGAAACTTATCTGCTAGTGTCGTTTTCTGCTAGTTCTTCGTTCTAGAGTAAATACATGAAAATTGTCAATGGAAAAATACATAAACAAACAAAATTGCTTTGGGTTATCATTTCTGGATTAATGTTCATAGTAGAATGTTTCTGATGAGCTTGTGGTCAAATTTCACAGGTGATTTACACAGATGTGGCGCTAGATCCTTACTCTTCAGATGGTCACGATGGCATAGTTCGGGAAGACGGTATATAATATTTGATTTTAGAATCATCGTTTTCTGTATTAAATGTTGACCATTTTTCCGCTCTCATATGTGTCGCTAGTCTCTGGCGACTTGTGCTGCCCTTGGTCGCTAAATTCTATTGGGGTATTTTAATGTTAGTTTTTTGGCATCATTGGTGCGTTCCTTTGTCTGCTACAATCTGATCATATCCTGGACAGCTGTCGCTATAGACCTTAGTGCTAGTTGTAGACTTGTAAGAGTGCCAATGAATTGATTTTCATTTCTTTATGCTATTCCATCAATTAAAACTTAACTGAATTCAATGAATAGCTAAGGAAAAGACCTGACACACCATACTGCAAATCATGCTTACCATGGACATGTCCTAATACAGGAGTGATTATGAACGACGAGACAGTTCATCAACTTTGCAAGCAGGCCGTAGCACAGGTACAGGATTCTGTATGGGAATTTCTTTGCTGTCATTGAATTGAGCTTTTTCATACTGTTTTCACTTTTCTTTTGGTACATGTATGTAAATCAATTATCATGTTACTTAGGGACTTTTTTGAAATCCATTGGAATTATGTAAAGAAAGTTTAATTTCCACAGGTCCCAAGATGTAATTCTTGATTGCATAAATACTCGTTTACGAGCGTATTCTTGTTTGTCTTCTTAATGAGATCTAAGAAGGTTAACTTGACCTCAGGCTCAAGCTGGGGCAGATGTTGTCAGCCCTAGTGATATGATGGATGGGCGTGTAGGTGCCATCCGAAATGCCCTCGATTTAGCAGGATACCACGATGTTTCAATTATGGCTTATACAGCCAAGTAAGAGTTCTTTTCTGTCTTTTGTAACGTTCCTTCTGGTGTGGATATCATCTTGTGAAAATCCCTGTGCTACTTCGCCTGGTAATTGGAAAGTCGAGTATTCTTACGACTCCAGTGAAACAGTCAACAATTTTGCACAGTTCAATCAACAATCTACGAAGATGCCTGCGACATGTCTAATAGTCATGTCATGTTCGTGTTGGTGCAGATATGCAAGTGCCTTTTACGGGCCCTTCAGAGAAGCACTGGACTCCAATCCCCGTTTTGGTGACAAGAAGACGTAAGTTCCAAGTACAATCTCTTGTCCGGTATTATGTCAGTACTAGCCAGGATTCACCAAAAGGAATATAATTGCAATTCATGGGGTTTTTTACGAGGTCCTTACCTATGTGGTGTTATCAGGTATCAAATGAACCCCGCAAATTACCGCGAGGCTCTGATCGAGACAAGGTTGGACGAAGCTGAAGGTGCTGACATTCTCATGGTACGATATTTTTCCTCATCACGTTAAGTTGGCCTTTCGAAAGCATCTTGTGTAAGGGTTTTCATAGCTTATGGTTGTGCAGAAGGCTTGCAGGACATACTCTTGTGGGTGTTCTCTTGGAGGGGCAGCCGCTGTTTTATGTCGAATTCTTCCATAATTGAAACAATAGGGTTTCATGTAACAATACCATTGCTCACTTGCTACTATTAACTAGTACCTTCTGAACGTATGCACTAGTTTTTCAGTCACCATGTCGCTGTTGAGCAAAGGTCGTTGTGGCTGAAGTTGGTTATACCTAACTACTTTGTTCACAGGTTAAGCCTGCCATGCCCTACCTGGACGTCATCAGGCTTTTGCGCGACAACACCGCATTGCCTATCTCAGCCTATCAGGTATGTGGGTTTACTTGAGATTGTTTGTCAATTACCTTAGTATTCATCATGACATTTGCTACGAACAAGTGATGATACGGAGAAGGTAGTGATTAATGTGGGGGTACCTTGAACGCCTTGCCAGGTCTCAGGAGAGTATTCTATGATCAAAGCAGCTGCTGCTGCAGGCATGCTTGATGAGAAGAAAGCAGTACTGGAGTCTTTGTTGTCTATAAGGCGAGCTGGTGCAGATGTAATCCTCACCTACTTTGCCATTCCAGCTGCTCAATGGCTCTGTGCTGAGCGGATTTGAGCGCATGAAGTCCAGTTTTAAAAGTTTTCCACTTTAGTCTAGTTCTATGTCACTGGTGTGACATGAAGCTTTGCTTCTTTTAGTTCTGCTCCACGAAAGATGGTTCAGGTTGAAATTGTAATTTTATCAGTGAAATATGCACACCTTTGATATGAATTCTCGCAGTCTATTTCCCGCCAGTCGTGATTGTTTTTAGTGGGGCTAGAGTATCTCTGAATACAACACGTGTTGATTTGCTTTGCTTGCTTATGCAGGGACTATCCATTTTGAATTTCAACATTTTTATTACTGTTCAGTCTCACCTGTACATTGCTACCTCATAATTTGATTATTATTTACAGATCATGTGATGATAAATTGAAAATTATCCAGGATTTTTTCCTTGTATGGCAATATACAAATGATACTATATTTTGATAATAATGTATTTTGCAACATGAACTTCCTATATATCTAGTAAAAAGTGTTATATTTGAAATTTATATAACTTATAATAAGTAAATAAATAGTAGTTATTCTCAATAGTAGTCTTTATTTTACAATGGTAGTTTTTTTATTATACAATTTTACTTAGACTTACTTTTTTGATCTTAAAAATCATACCAAGTTATTGATCCAACTATAGAATG